AGGCATTCTCTTTCCATTATTTCACCTACCCCATTGTCCCCTGCATCTGATAGAAAGGGTTTTGTTTTCACAATGGACCTTGGATGTCAGAGAGAATGGGTCTGGGGTGTGTATGTAACTTGTAGGATACTCATGTGGGGTGGCCTGCCTTTTCTTTTATTGAATTTAATGGGTTGATATTGGTTAATAAAATTATATAGGCTTCAGGTGTACAATTCATCATCTGTATGTTGTATTATGTATTCACCACACCAAGTCAAGTCAAGTCTCCTTCCATTACCCTTTACGCTCTGTTACCTTCCCCAATCCCCTTTCCCACTGGTACTCACCATACTATTTCTGTGTCTATGAGGTTTTTTTTTTTTTTTGCTTTGCTTAATCCCTTCCCCTTTTCACCCAGCTCCCCAACCTTGCTCTCCTCTGACAGCTGTTAGTCTGTTTTCATCTACAAGTCTGTTTCTATTTTGTAGTTTGTTTTGTTCATTAGATTCCACATATGAGTGAAATCATATGGTACTTACCTTTCTCTGACGGGCTTATTTCACTTAGTATAATATCCTCCAGGTCCATCCATGCTGTGGCAAAGGGTAACATTTCCTTCTTTTTTTTTTTATGGCCAAGTAGTATTCTATTATGTAAGTGTATTAAAGCTTTTTAATCCATTCATCTACTGATGGGCACTTCCAAGTCTTGGCTATTGTAAATAACACAGCAATGAACATAGGAATGCATGCATTCTTAGGAATTAATGTTTCAGGTTTCTTCAGATATATTCCCAGGAGTGTGATTGTTGGGTTAAATGGCAGTTCCATTTTTTAATTTTTTAAGGAAACTCCATACTGTTTTCCATAGTGGCTGCACCAGTCTGCATTTTCACCAACAGCGCAGAGGATTCCCTTTTCCCCACATCCTCACCGGCACTTGTTGATTTATTGATGGTTGCCATTTGGACAAGTCCATTTGGACAAATGTGAGATGATATCTCATTGTGGTTTTAATTGTCATTTCTTTGATGATTAGTAGTGTTGAGCATCTTTTCATATTCTATTGTATTAGCCATTTGTATGTCTTCTTCATGCTCATTTTTTAACTGAAGTGTATTTTTGGCGTTGAGCTATATCAGTCAGTCCTTTAAATATTTTGCATATTAACCCATCATCAAATATATCATTGTCAAATATGTTCTCCCATTCAGTGGATTGTCTTTTCATTTTGTTGATTGTTTCCTTTGCTATGCAAAACTTTTTAGTTTGATTTAGACTCATTTGTTTATTTTTTTTCTTTTGTTTCCCTTGCCTGAGGTGCTATATCAAAAAAAGTATTGCTACAAGAAATGTTTAAGATTTTTAAGGTTTATGTTTTCTTCTAGAATTTTTATGATTTCAAGTCTAACATGTAAGGATTTAATTCATTTTGAGTTTATCCTTGTGGTCTAGTTTTTTCTCCCCCCCCCCCCCCCATTCTCTCTAATTTTCCCAAAACCATTTACCAAATATATTAACTTTACCTCATTGTATGTTTTTGCCTTCTTTGTCAAGTATTTAATTGACCATAACTGTGTGGGGTTTATTTCTGAGGTCTTTATTCTGTTTCTTTATCTATATGCTTGTTCTTATGCCATGATCATACTCTTGATTACTATGGCTTTGTAGTATAGTTTGATATCAGGTAGTGTGATTCCTCCTACTTTGTTCTTCTTTCTCAAGATTTCTGTGACTATTTGAGGCCTTTTGTAGTTCCATATAAATTTTTGGAATATTTGTTCTATTTCTATGAAATGCACCATTGGTATCTTGATAAGAATTGCATCAAATTTATAGATTGCTTTGGGTATTTTAATGATGTTAATTCTTCCTATTCATTCATGAACAATGTATATGCTTCAACTTATTTGTATCTTCTTCAAATTCTTTCTTCAGTGTCTTACAATTTTCTGAGTACAGATCTTTTACATTCTTGGTTAAATTTATTCCAAGGTATCTTATCTTATTTATTTTTGAGGTAGTTATAAATGGGATTGTTTTCTTAGTTTCCCTTTCTGATAGTGCATTATTGGTGTTTAAAAATACAACCCATTTTTGAGTTTTATTTTGTATCCTGCAATTTTATGGAATTTACTTACCAGTTTTAAAAGTTTTTTGTTTGTTTGTTTGTGTGTGTGTGTGTGTGTGTGTGTGTGTGTGTGTGTGTGTGTGAAATCTTTAGGTTACTTTATATACAGTTTCATCAAATGACAATTTTACCTCTTTCTTTCCAATTTGGATACCTTCAATTTCTTCTTCTTGTCTGATTCTGTGGCTAGGACTTCCAGTGCTATGTTAAATAAGAGTGGTTAAAGCAGACATCCTTGTCTTGTTCCCAGTCTTAAGGGAAACGCTTGTAGTTTTTATCCAATGCATATGTTGGCTGTAGGTTTGTCATATATGGCTTTTATTAAGCTGAGACACATTCCCTCTATTCTTATTTTGTTGAGAGGTTTTTTAAAATCATAGATGGGTGCTGGATTTTACCAAATGCTTTTTCAGCATCTATTGATCTGATCAATTGATTCTTATCTTTCAATTTGTTTATGTGATGTATCATGTTTATTGATTTGCAGCTATTACACCAACCTTGCATACTCAGATAAAGACCACTTGATCATGGAGTGTGATCTTTTTAATGAATTGCTAGATCTGGTTTGCTAATATTTTGTTGAAGATTTTAGAATTCATGTTCATCAGGGATAAGATTTCAATGTAGGGCAATGCCTAGACATGCATTTGGGATAAAAATGATTGCTTATCACTATGATTCTATAAAGAACTTAATCCAGTCTTTGGAAGGAATGATTAAAAACCCAGTCCAATACTCCTTGGCTGACCTCATTTTGAGATTTAGCATCCCATGTTTGTGAAATTCAGATTTTAAGGAGGAAAGAACATTAATGTTGACTATTTAAAAGAATATGGCATAGAACAGAGCCATTCTTCAGTTAGGGAGAGAAAGCAAAGTTGTCTGGTCTTTGGCAGTTCAAAGACATGCTTTAAGCAAACAGGCTGAATTTTTTTGGCTATAGAACCAACAGACTTGAAGGACAGTAGTCCAACTGGATTTCCATCTCCAAGATTTCACAAAAATCACCAAGTGATATTTAGTAGGTGTGGATGATGTGTGGAAGCAGAGGTTATCAACATTTCAGCATGCCCTTGGAATTCTACAGTAATTCTTGTTCCTTTCGGGAATAGTCACACTGTGTGTATGCTATAGAAAGTAAAAATTTCCAGCCAAAGATGATGCATGTCTTTGCATCAGTAAGTGTATGATTTAATCAACTGCAACCCTCAAAGCCACCTACATCAGGACTGATGTGAGCGTTTTGGCCGGTGCCGGAGGGTGAACTGGGGATGTGCCCAGCACCCTTCCCACTCAGTATGCACCTGGAAGCTCTCCCTTCCTTTCGGCCCAGAGGGAGGCTGTGTCTGGGATGGGTGGGGATCTGCACTGCCTGAGAGGCGCAGGAATGCATATCAATCACTGTTTGGCAGGTAGTGCAGACACATTGCCCTTTTATCCCACCACCATGCAGGCCTCTCCCATCCAGGAAGTAGAGCTCTTTACAACATCGATGCCATTTTTAGTCACAGCAATAACATTTGTGAAATACTAACATGGGTGAAGTACATAAGAACTTACAAAGGCCTCTAGGCTGTTGGTTTCGTATTGCCAGGAATGACACATTGAGATGGCTGACATTGATGCCGGTGTTTGCACCTTACAGCCACGTCCTTCTAATGGACTAATCAACAAATCAAAAAACCCACCAGAAGATTTTCTCTGGGGCCTCTGATGAAATGCACCAAGGTATCCCCCACGCTTTTTACTGGACAACTTCTGATGCTGCCATCATCCAGAACACCAGGGTCTTCCCTTGATCACACACGGTTCTCTTCCTCTGTACACACTCTCTTCCTACCTCTATGGTTGTTTAAATGGGACTTTTAGTGTAGCAAGTTCAGATTTAGAGTATACCTACCTCAATTCTAGGCAGGTCTGTTAATAATATGGTGTGTTTGTTTCTATTTTTTTTCATTTTGCCTTAGCTTAACCCACCAATTAGGCAACAGAATGTTGTTGAAATACTTCACTTTTTAGTTCTACCTTTGCATCAACTAATGTCACCTACCTACAGCTCTTGTAGATGAAAGAAGCAAAATCCTTTTTACTCATTGTGACCAAATCTCTCTCTTAGTATCAGAGCAGGCTGATGTCCCATTGGACTTCCATTTGTAGATCACAAGACAGCAAGCTTCTGGTAGGCATCCTGAACTGCCGGTCTTTCTCTGTTCTTTCCAGGCAACTGGTAACCCATCTACCTTGAATGATCCCTCATTTTGTATTGCCCCCGTTGTTCTCAATGGCAGCTCTCTTATTCAGCATGCACGCTCCTCATTGAGTGTACATGTCCATGTCTCATTTATATACTAGATGCCCCTTGCAGGAAGATTCCTGCAATAGGGCTTCCTGCTGTGGTCTCTGCTGTCCCGCCTACTTCTGTCCCTTCTCCCCATCCTGCCTGCTTCCCTGCCTTCTCTGCGGCTCCGCTTGCTTCTCGGCAGCTTTGCTCCCTTCTACAGCACTTGGCTTCTTTCTACACTGTCTTCAGTCTTCGTTCTGGGCTGGATATGCAAATTAACCGCCATCTTGGTTGGGTTAATTTGCATACTTGCCCTGATTGGCTGGGGGGCATGGCTTGTGGGTGTAGTGAAGGTATGGTCAATTTACATGTTTCTCTTTCATTAGAGAGGATATGTGTGCCCATGAATGTCTGCCCAAAGTTGGCATTTGCTTAATATCACTGGGAGCATTTCAACTTCCAGTTTATATTGTGTTATTTCTGTGCATGAGAACTGGTAAAGAATTCATGTTTACTACAGAGTCTCCCCCTCCTCCCCGCCCCCCATATCATCCCTAGCACATCTCCTGCTCCTACCTTCTACAGGGGGCCCTGCCCCACTCACCAGCCATGGAGGAGACAACGACAATGCTTCCGTTGCTCTGCTTCAGCATGGGAAGGGCAGCCATACTCAGGACCACATAACTGATGTAGTTGACCTCCATACTTTTGCGCACTAAGGGGATATCACCAACAAATGGTTCCATAGTAGCGCTGGTGATGTGATTGAGAATGAGCATGTCTAGTCCTCCTGCAAGAAATTACTGTGTTGAAAGAAACTATCTGGGGTTGATACCTTTTCTTTCCCCCTTCCCCCTCTCCCTTTTCTACATTCCCCGAGCCAAGTCCCAAGGAGCAAAGACGATAGAGGAAGTGCAGAGGAGGAGAGAAGAGAAGCAGCCTCACCCAAGATCTTTCCAGCTCTGGCAACAAAGCGCTCTGCGAAGGTCATGTCCTCCATGGTGCCAGCAATGTAGTGTGCCGAAGCTGCTCCATACTCCAAGCACTCGGCTACTATCTGCAGGGACACAGTGTCCTTGGTTTCAGTGTTGTAACTGGAATTCAAGTTTGACAGCTTGCCAACACAAAAACCAAACTCATGAGACAAGATGCTGGTGAAAAAGGAAAGAGATTTCATTCAAGTGCTGGCCACCTGAGGAGATGGGGGATTCTTGTCATAAAGCCTATCATCTCAGTATAGGCAGAGGTATGTGTGTGTGTGTGTGATGTGTGTGTGGTTTCCTCTGGATGTGTGTGTGGTGTGTGCATGTGTGTGTGTGTGTGTGTGTGTGTGGTGTGTGTGTGTGTGTGTGTGTGTGTGTGTGTGTGTGTTTTAATATATCTTTATTGATTTCAGAGAGGAAGAGAGATGGAAACATCAATGATGAGAGTGAATCATTGGTCGGCTGCCTCTGCACAATGTCCCACTGGAAATCGGGCCCACAACCCAGGTATGTGCCCTGGTTCATAGGTCAATGCTCAACTATTGAGACAGCTATCTGGCGGGCCAGGCAGAGGTTTTTATAAGGAGAGAGAGGCAAAGCAGAACAAAGAACTCAAGGGGAAGGGGTTAAAGAGTTCTCTATGTGCAGTCAGCACAGTCCATTCTGATAAGAATCTTGAGACTGGTCAAGTGGTGGTCTGGTGTGTGTTATCTTGCTTTTGTTTTGTCATCCTGGTTCTACGGTTAAAGATTAACAAATTTCCTGGAATGGGGGGTGACTGAAAATTAGATTCTGTATCTTCTGAAGTAGTTCTTAGGATTCTCATGCAAACATGTTGTCTATCTATAAGCTACATGTTAGTCAGAGTCAGCCTTACAGACACAATGTCAAAAGAATGGTGGGATGAGGTACAATTACTACTATTCTAGTATTGGCTACAGACCTTTGGGGACAGCCTCTGAAGCAATGGAGATTTAGATGAGTTGTTCAGGTAATGTTAGTGGGTTTATGTGCATGAATGTGAATTTAGTGAGTGTGTGTGTGTGTGTGTGTGTGTGTGTGTTGCTAACTGCAACCCAACATAATCTTTGTCCTCTGTGTGAAATAATTTTCTGAAAGTATTTCAGGTAGGGTGTAAATGGATAAGTCACCACCCTGCTTGGGTTCAAGTCCATGATTTGTATATGTGAGTTTCTGTGAATAGTTGTTTTTGAACCATCCTAGTTTCTATGTAGGTAGCCCTAGGTTTGTGAATGTTTTTATATTCTTGGGTTTGTAAGTCTGAGCATATGAGAGGACATGTGGGTGAAAGTTTGCATGGGTACAAAAATATTAATTCATGTCTAGGTGCTGGAATTTTGATATCTGAATACATATCTACATATCTGTGACTTTGTGTATAACTGTGTGTAGAGGCATGTCTATGAGTCTATATAACCCAAGAACTTTGTGTCTCTCCATATATATGTGCATGGGAATGAACACTGAAATGCATATTTTCATATTATTGTGAGTGTTTAAACCTGTAGGTATGTGTGCCTGTGTATGTGTGTGCTTATGTGTGTGTATGCATCTGTGTATGGATGTGCCCGCCTCTTTCTGTTGGCATGTATACGTAAATGTATATAAAAATACATCTGGGCATGTGAGCATATATGTGTTGTGGGCACAGAACCCTCACCTTCTTTAGAGCTTCTTCTGACCTCGCTGTCACCATCACATGGGCTCCCATCTTCGCCAGATGATAGGCCATCTCCTTTCCAATCCCCTTGCTGGCCCCTGTGACAATCACTTTCTTTCCTTGGAGCATCTCTGGGAAACCCCAAAAGGAAGTGAGGAGAAAAGCCCAACTTGGCAGCAACATTCCTCCTCCTGCCCTGGACATGGGCAGCCTTCTTTCCATGCCTCATGGTTATGAGTCCAGATCAACTTGTTTGCATACATCAGTAGAGGAAAGTTCAAGTCTTTCATAAATATGCTCTGAAATGGAAGTTTGACTTGGTTGGTCAAAACCAAGTCTACCTACTGTATCTTCTACACTTGATCTTAGCCAAAAGGCCGAGAAGCGATCTGTATCTCCTAAAAACCAACAACAAAACATAACAACCCTACATGAACAGAAGTTTTAGCGGGAACACTAGAGTTCCAGGTGTTTGTGGACTCAGCCAGTTTTGTTCAATTGAAAAAAAAAAAAAATGCAAACAGTAATCAAAATACGTGTGCTCTCGGAGATCCCAGGGATTTTTTCTCACTTCTAGTTAGTCATCAACTCCAGACTACTTTTTTGCCTCCCACTTATCAGTCCTTCCACGGAGCTCAAATATCTGGCTGGGCTGTGAATTTTGGAGTTACCCTTATTTTTATAGGGGACCCGTCATTGCTTTTCATTAAGGGGGCCAAGTACCACACTCCTGTTAGCTATTCCCTGTGGCTGTAGGACACAGAAATCCTCTCCCACCTCAAGGTCCCTGGTCGTTCTGCAACTTTGGAGGTCAGGAAATCATGATGATCCTCGGGCACTCCAGCTACCTATTTTTTCTTTTCTTTTTATCTATCTCTTCAAAATTAGACATATTTGTACTTACCTGGTTTGAATTCCTCATTTGCTGAATAGTAGTAGTAGGCCAAGAAGACCCCCAGAATGGGTAGGAGTTTTTTCATAAAAGCCATCAGACAGGGATCTGACACGAAGAGCCCTGAAGGACACACAGAGAGAACCTACACAACTTGTTACAGCCTTCAAGGCAGGCAGCAGACTCTGAATTGGGACATCAGGAATGGGAGGCTGGAGTAGTCTCAGACAGGGCTAGCCAATTTTCCTGTAAGAGCAGCCGATTGGCTATGGGAGAGATCGCACTTATCTTGGCAGTCTGCATGGTAGATTTCACAATGAACAATATTTATTCCACTGCATTGAACAAGAAGAGACTTACAGATCGCCAAGTTCATGACTGTACAGGATTAGATTCTGCCAGCATCACTACCCTGAGTCCATCTTCCTCTGAACACCATTTACACTAGGAATTGATGACTTTATCAAAGTGCATGTCAAACCCCCATTTCAGAGCATGCTTCTGTGTGTGGCTTCTGGGGGGAATATGAGTAATAGCCAAGGGAGCTAAATTCAGGTCAAATCTCATTCTCAGTCCCACCTCCTAGTCAGAAGCAATTAAAAATAATAGCCCAACACAGAAAAATAAGCTTCTTAAGAAAATATGTCTAAAATATGTTCTTGAAAAATAAACAAGCCCGATAAACCTCACACAAGTTCAGTGAACATGTATTACAACATCAAAAGGGAATGCAAGCCAGCCAGAACCCAGATGGCAAGACTCTCAGGAAAGCTCCAGCCGATTTGGCTCAGTGGACAGAAGGGTCCTGGGCTTGATTCCAGTCCAGGGCAATACCTCAGTTGTAGGCTTGATCCCTGTGTGGGAGGCAACCAATCGATGTGTCTCTCTCACATCAATGTTTCTCTCTCTCTGTCTCTCCCCCTCCATTCTCTAAAAAACAAACAAACAAAACACCTCCCCCCAAAACAAACAAACACCAAAAATAAAAAAACAATGGAAAAATATCCTTGGGTGAGAGTTAACAACAACAACAACAACAACGAACTCTTAGGAAATTGCAAAGGAATGTCCACTTAAGACTTTAGTAGTAAATAAAGAAGGAATAATGAGTGCCAAAAACCCAAAACGGTACAAAGCTATTAAACTGGGCCTTGTAAATGCTAGTAAGGAATGAGAACCATAAAGAAGTTGCTGCAAGAAGAGGCCTGGTGCAGGAGAACAAGCAGCAAGCACCATCGAGGCAAAACTGGCCTGAAAATCCCATATCCAGCTGAAAACTGGTCTGGAACAAGACAAGGACCATAGAGGAGAAATCCTTAGGCATTTAGAATTTATCATAGAATTATAGAAATAACTACGCTGGTATGTCTAGAGTAAGAATTCATTAAGGAGAAATTCTTAAAGAATGAATTGAAGATATATTCTTGTTAAGTTTTTCACCTTAGAACCAACTAACCAAACCATAAAAATTATTCCATCATAGAGCAAATTCAAATTCTGCGAAGTTACCTGTAGAACTGAGAAATCTATTTACATGTGATGGTGAGAATGGGTATGGGGCTTTGGGAGAAGAATATGGGTTGAGGGTAGGGGTTGGGGGATTCTCATACTATTAAGAAAAATCCAGTATGACCCCAAGTACAGGATCTGGAAACGCTCCCTGAACTTTCATTTCAGAGTAAGGGAAAAGAATTGAAGACTCAAAGGAGATGAAATAATTTGTCAACAGAGACCCAGAGCTGTAAAGTTCACTTCCAGAAAACAATGGACATTTGATAATAGTTAAGGGCTAAATAAAGCTCAAGGTCCATGGAGGACAAAATAGAAAAAATAAAAAGGAAAATTCAAGTAGAAAATTATATTACCTATGGTCAGAACTGTAAGAATTATATGCATAATTTTATAACCCACTTTATGCTACCAAGGTATGTTACAGACTAGACTCCATTTTCATCTCTAGAGGAAAGGGAATTTTGTTTATTTTTTTAATACTGTACTATTAATATAAAATTATAGGAAGGAACAATTGCTTGGAAATATGCTGCTGCTGAAAGGATGGAAAGATGGACAGACTAGGAAAGTTTATTATATGACAAAAATAATTTCAAGTTCACTACTCAAAAGATAATTTAAAGAAATAAAAAAATAACAATGAGTAGGATAAACATCAGGGTGATAGAATGTAAAACTAATGCATTGACTATAGTTGATTGTTGGCTGAGTTAAAAAATAAAGTCCAAACTTGTGCTGCCTCAAAAGATATAAATAAAGACATTAAATCACACACAGATGAATAACTTGATGACTTAATAGCTAACATGCCAGAAAACAAGGCCAGAGAAAGCACCTAACAAAGTAACATTTATGGAATTACATAAAATAATTTTTAGTCAGCAAAATGCATTAATAAGAAATGAGGACAATATATAATGGTATATATTCTTAGCAGTTCTTAAAATGTTTAGTCTCAGGATCCCTTTACAAGCTTAAAAACTATTGAGGATCACAAAGAAATTTGAGTGTGTGTGTGTGTGTGTGTGTGTGTGTGTGTGTGTGGTTTAGCTATTGATATGATATATTAGAATTTTTAAAATTCAAGAATACGTAAGCATACATGTAGTATGCTTTCTACTAGCACACATCCTGTAGCTTCAGGAAAACTCATGAGAGAATAACAGGGGAAAAAAGTCATATAATCTCTTAGTATGGTTATGAAAATAGTTTTGATCTTTTAGATCCCCAGTGGGGTCTCAGGCACCCAGGGGTAGCACATTTTGGCCATATCCTATATAATAAAGAGTGAATATGCTAATTGACCATCACCCCCCCACAAAGATGGCAGTGCCCACAGCCACTAAGGAGGGAATATGTTAACTGACTCCATGCCCTCAAAGATGGTGGTGCCCACAGCCACAAGATGGCAGCGCCCAGTCCTCTCAGTCCCGCCAGAGTGGCAGGCACGTGGCATGGCCAGGCCAGCTTCCAGGTGGGTCCTGCTGCTCCACGCGCCTGCCTCTGGAGTCCTCCAGGCCCCGCAGCCTGCAGCTGCCCAGGGCTGGCTCAAGGTGCAGGCAAACCTTGGATGCTGGCTGCCCAGCCAATGCCCAGGGCCTAAGCAAGCTTCGAATGGTGGCTGCCCAGCTAACTCCCGAGGCACAGGCAAGCTTCAGATGCTCCGGCCCAAGGTGCAGGCAAATCACCAATGGCGGCTGCCCAGCTGCCTAGGGCCACCCGAGGTTCAGGTAACCAGGGCTGGCTGAGGCTTGTGCTGCCAGCAGTGGCAGCAGCAGAGGTGTGGTGGGGGCATTGCCTTCTCTGATCGCTGGGTCACCTCCCACCCCTGAGGGCTCCCAGAGTATGAGAGGGGGTAGGCTAGGCTGAGGGAAACTCCCTCCAGTGCATGAATTTTCATGCACTGTGCCTCTAGTTACGTAATAAACACGGATCTCTATATGTGCATATTTACATGCCTGATTGTTTCATTTGCTTATAAATTCATGGAGGACAGGGACTATATAGTTTTCATCTTTGCTGTTTTAGTGTTTCTGAATTTCTGCAGCAACGAGAAGATGGTTGAGTTCCTAGACTGAGTTAAAAAGCAGGGAAATCCTGGGATTCAGTGTTCTGGTCACACCTGATCAGCCCCACTCTTTTGTCCTCTTTATAGAGCTTCTAAATATCCTGTTCCTTCTCCTTCTCAAGTGTTTACCTTCTTCTAGTAGTCCTCCCAGGCCTGGCCCATCCCCCAGAGTCCTTTTCCCTTCGATTCCAATGTTCCTCTCACTTTGTCAGCCCCACTCTCTAGTCCTCTTCTGTAGAGGGCCCCCTGGGAAGGCACATGGGCATTCTTTAAATTATTGTCAGCTGAAAACAAGGCTACAGGCAAAGCCACACCCTGGAAACACGCTTTGCCAAAAAGGCAAGAGTGTTATCAGCTTGGCCTCCATTTCAGCTCAGGTGTTGGATAGTGTGCTTTGATAGGTAAATCCAGTCTAGCACTGGGAATGAGGGAATGAATAGGACCTGAGCCCAATCGAGCTCCTTTGATCCTAAGTTTTTGGTGAAACCCCATGGTATTTGGAATGTAAATAAACATGCTGCGTCGGCTCTGAGTCCCTGTCCCTCCATCAGAGAGGACCGCAGTCCCACTCGGCTCCCAGCTTTTTCCTTCTATCTTCGTGTCTTGTTACTTTATTTCTTTCTTTCATTTCTCAATCCCCAGCTCCTCTACTCAGGAACCAGACCTGCTCTTTTATATATATATATATATATATATATATATATATATATATATATATATATATATATATATTTATTTATTATTGATTTTTTACAGAGAGGAAGAGAGAGAGCTAGAGAGCTAGAAACGTCTGATGAGAGAGAAACATCGACCAGCTGCCTCTTGCACACCCCCCACTGAGAATGTGCCTGCAACCAATGTACATGCCCTTGACCGGAATCGAACCTGGGACCCTTCAGTCCGCAGACTGACTCTCTACCACTGAGCCAAACAGGTTTTGGCCAGACCTGCTCTTTTTCTGTGCTGGACGTGGGAAAAGAAACACCTATACTCTTCTAGAGCCTTTAAAAAATATGAAAAGAAACACAGCCGTTTCACCTCGCATTTCTTTCAAGTCAAATTTTCTCCGAGCAGGTAAAGTTGCTTTCACTGCCACAGCACCAAAACTAGCTGTGTACTTCACTCCTTTGTACTGCCTCCCATTTTTAAAAATTAAATTTATCAGGGTAACATTGGTTAATAGTATTATAGAATATTCAGGTGTACAATATATAATATGACATCTGTGTACTCTACTGTGTGCTCACTACCTGAAGTCTAATTGCCTTCCATTAGCATATATTTGTCCCCATTACCCACTGCTCCCTCCCCTCCCAACTTTCCCTTCTGGGACCCACCTGTAAGAATGGCTATTATAAAAAAAAATATAAGAAATAGCAAGTGTTGGAGAGGGTGTGCAAGAAAGGGAAACTTTTTCTTGCCGATGGGAAACTAAGTTAGTGCAGCCACTATGGAAACCAGTATGGCCTGGCCAGCATGGTTCAGCGGTTGAACATAGACCTATGAACCAGGAGGTCATGGTTTGATTCCAGGTCAGGGCACA